AAAAAAAAAAAAAAAAATATTTTTTTCCTTAACTAACTATTCGGCTAACAGCTGAAATTGTAACTGAGAAATTTTTTTCTTTCTTATTTTTTTGAAAAGTATTTCAGCGGAGGGGAAAAAAAAAGTTGAGGATCTCAAACAAACATTTGTAAAGGAAATTGGAGCATCAAGAAAGAGGGAGAAAAAAAAGATGAGATAAAATGATAACATATAAGGAAGAGAAAACTTAACTAATAGTTTATATCTTCCATGTTTTTGTTTTGAACCGTGCAAATGTTTAAGTCGGTTTAGCGGAAGTGTTCTGTTTTGTTGTTTTTCTTTTTCTGTTGTTTATTTTTTTTTTTAAATTGAAAACCTTGTTTTTTTTTTTTTTTTTTTGAAGAAACGGAAGAAAAAGCTGAGAAAGGAAACTTATCTTAATTTCTTTTTTTTTTATTTTTTTGTTATTTTTTTCTTTGACTTAAGCTATAGATTTAGTTTTGGTTGTTTTATTTTAAAAGTTTACTTTAGTTTTTTTCGTTTATGAATTTTAAGGTACTCAAGGAAATTTTTGGTTTTGCTGTTTATAAAATATCAGCGCAACATTAGCGCAACTATTCTGGTTTTCCTTTTTCTACAAATAATTACATTATTATTATTTTTGGTTAAATTAGTTAGTTTTCCTTTCTGAAAAAAAATTTAACTGGATTTGGGAATAGCATACAGAGGAGGGAAGGGAAAAAAAAGTGGGGAAGAGGTTTTGCATGATTTGCACTGGAATACGAACAAAAAGAAACAAAAAATAATGCAAATTTTTGTCACAGTGTTTTATGAATTTTAACAGTAAAATACAAATCTTTCCTTATTTTTTTTTACTTTACATTATTCACAGTTTTATGCTTGCTTTTTCTTTTTTTTTTGCTGCACAATGCATGCTTTTGCAGTTATTTATATTACTTTATTCGCTATTTAAAAAACTAAAACCTTTTTTTTTATTACTCTGTCATATACGTATAGGTTAAATTTTTATGAAATTTTATTTTCTTTTCTCTTTCTTTTTTTTAATTCAAATCTTTTTGAAACTAATTTATTTTGATAAAATAAATTTTTTTTTAAACATTTTAACTTTCTTAATCTGTCGGAATATGCCCACCAGAAACAGAACATATATTTCAGTTCCATCGAAACCCACAATAATCTCTGTAAAACCAATCAATGCCACTGCAGTACGTGTTAGTTGGAGTAAACCGGTCACCGATAATGGTGGTAAAATCAAGGGATACTATGTGTTCTATGATCTTGTTGACCGGACAAATTTCAAACAACATACTGTCATTGGTGAAGAGGTATATCTTGGACGTCATTTTTATGGACCGTAGGACTTTAAAACTTCCTGGTTTTTTTTGAAAATTGATCAACGTTTTTTTCTTTCTTGTTTCATAGCCATTTGATGAATAAAAAACTGAAGAATATTTGTTTTTTTAGTTTTTAAGGCATTTTTCATTGTCTCTCTTTGTTTAAAGAGGACTCGCGTTAAAAGTTACTCTTCGTTGTATGAGTTTAAGCTCTAATTTTTTTTTCCAACTTCATTTTCAGTTTTAACTGGAATAAAGTCTTTTATAACTTGATTAAATTATTCGTGCTTCATTTGGCCGTATTTTAGACATTAAGCAGCATTATCACTCGTTTAGTACCAAATACGGAGTACAAAGTATTTGTATCTGCATTTAATATACATGGTGATGGAGAACTGACAAGTGGTTATAAATTTGTTACTCCTGGAATGCGTAAGTTGTTAAAGTTGCAATTTTTTTATAATATTTTTTATTGTTTCTTCTAATAATTACTTTTGACTTACGGTTTTTGAGAAGGTAATAGAAATCCAGCAAAAATTTTTTGAAAATTTAGTATAAATGAGTTTCAGCCCCATCTGAACCATTGGTTTATGGCATTGAATTTTTAAATGAGAAGCCGTTCAATAGACCCTATCGAGCTCGCATTACATGGGGGCCGCCGAAGGTTTTGGACTGACTATTTGATTTTTAGTGTAAAGTTGTCGATTACAGTATTGCTTTTAACATTCTTTAAGAATAAATCTTTTCTATTTCAAATTTTAAAATACTTTTTTTAATGCAGGAAACTTACGATATGCCAATTAAGCAGTACATTATTTGGTATAAATCAGATCTTGAAAACGAGTATCATCGACAAGAAGTGAATGACAGCGCACATAGAATGACTTTAGAAGTGGATGATTTATGTAATGCTCTTTCATTCTAACACAAAATAAGATTTTTTGTCTTAGCAATAGATCTAAGAATCTGATCACTTTTTGCACTTATTATGCTTCGTTTCTATGACCTTCTGTCCTATTTTTTTAATTTTTTCAACGATTAATACGTGTTTGCTTACCAACAACAATGTTTTTTTTGCTCACGGTTTATTGTTTTTAAATTAAGATTAAGTGTTTGTTGGATCAATCCTGTCACCAAATTTTTCTTGCAGTAATTTTTTAAGATCAGTAATTGTGACGGTAAAGTTTTATGGAAAGTATTTTCTTTTTGTTAAGAAGACTTCAGTATTCTTTATGTCTAGTGCTGGGACGTGTGTATGAATTTAATATCGCGGCAGTCACTGATGAAGGTGTTGGTAATAACGCTACCGAGAAACTCTCTACTCCTGATGGGATTCCAGGAAAAGGACCCTTAAATTTGCGATATGAAGTTAATGATCGCCAGGTAATTTTTTGGAATTTTTGAGTGTTCAGTTCAAAATAGCATTATAAAATTGATAACTTCAAACCTGGCGCGCAAGTCAATATTAGCTGAATTATGTTTATCGCATGTGAAAACTAGGTTGCAAATGTGGCGGAAGCCGTTCCTTTTTCTTGTTTTGAATAGGCTGTTAGCAGTCGCTAAGACTTGCGTGACTTAAATAGTCAATAGGATGAATGGATTAAAAAACGTCTTTTCAGAAAAACACTTTTAAAGTTTGCTTCTTTTCTGATCATTCTTTCTTCTGTGCTTATATATGAATTTGAAGTTTTTATTGTTT